GGGGGGGGGGGGGGGGGGTGAGGCTCCCTGCACAGACCTGTGCGGAGCAGCCCTGGCACAGCAGGAATCGGGTTTGCATAAGTTTGCTTTGGGGAGGCCTGCAAAACGGTGCCAGCTAACTGGCACCTCGCAGCATGGTTGCATCTGAACTCCAGAGGGTGTCTGGCTTGCAGGGAAATGGGCCTTTTCTCCAGAGATGTGGCACAGCCTCTTCGCCAGAGACAAACCTCCCTTCTTTTCTTTCCTCCTGACTGCTGCAGAGATGCCGGGGCGTCTGAGGGCCTCTTCTTCTGTGGGCCTGGGCCGCCCAGCAGAGACTAGCTGCAGTGGAAATTGCAAGGCAGCTCAGGGGTTATTTCCATTCTGATGGATGGATGAAAGGCTTGCGTAGTTGGAGGCTCTTCTGCGGCTGCAGCTGCTGTCACAGTCCTGCAAGATTCTTCACTTGCAATTTATGGGGCAGGGGGGTTGCTGTTTCTCAGGAAAACTGGGGAGATTGTCCTGCCCCACCCCCTTGATGACTTTCAGAAGGTTGTTCCAGGGAGAGTCCTGGCTGTGTTTACTCCTGCGCCATCTTTTACTTTTTTACTTTCTATTTTAGTTGTACTGTATGTTGGTTGTTAATTTTACAGTTTAATTTATTTTGTGTTTTAATTTTCTTCATGTCTTTTAAACTGCCAGTTGGATTAAAAATTAACAAAACCCAGACCTGGATGATTGTGGTGATACAGATGCAGTATGAAATAGATGAAGGAATGGGAAATAGGAATTCAGATAGCAGCACCCCAAATTATGTGCTGATACGCAGTTTACAAAAGAAAATGGAACTAAGCATAATTAACAGGGTTGGGTTTTTTTTCTTTTCTGCATCAAAATAATACTTTTACTGTAACACGTTCTTCTCTCCCTGTCAACAGAGACAGAAGGCCTGGCACAGGCACTTTTGTATGGACACCCCCCCCCCCCCCAAAATAACCTAGAAGAAAGACTAATGCTAAATGCAAGGGGAACTGTGGCGGTTCAAACGTGAGATGGCCAGTGGCTGCGGTTTTGCTGTCCGCATCAGGGTGGGCCACTCATGGGGTCTCG